CTGAAGCAGGCCTCGGACATTGAGGATGATCCTGATCCCTAATCCTCGTCTCCAGGGATTGAAGTGTGGGCCAGCAAGCCTGATCACACATATGTAAGAAGACTGCTGAAAAACCAAGTCTCATCTTTAAATCAGACACTAGGTCAGGAAAGTGTTAAAGTAGGGCTGTGTCAGAGGACACACCAGGGGACCACACAACAGGTAACTCACTCCACACTGATTTCCGCTGTCTCTCTGCCCTCACCTTTACTTAACAGAGAGTGTCTAACAATGCTAGTAACTGGAGGGCGGTATTGTATAAGAAAGATTTCCTCAGTTTTTTTTCTAGAAAACTTAAGTTCCAGACAGGAGCTATAGCTCACCTGTAGTGTCCTTCTAGCACCCAGAGCCTCAGCTTGCACAGCATGCACCAAGGATGGTACTATGTACCTATAACCCCAACATCCGGTAGAGGCAGGAGGGTCAAAAGTTCAAGGTGATCCTAAACTGAAGAGCAAACTCAAGGCCAGCCTGGGATACATGAAATCCTTTCAAAGATAAGAAACTACCTGCTCCAGCCATGGTAGTGAGCCAAAGAATAATCCATGAAGATCCCTGGATCCCCAGAGACACCTTAGATATTTTAATACAGCATGAACCTAAGACTGGCCAACACTATCCCCGACTGTTAGTGAGGGAAAAAACTACAGCCATATTCACAAATCAGTCAGATGCAAACTCTTAAGTTAAGGTCCCTGTTGCTGAGTGTGGAGGTGCACACATTTAATCCCAGCATGTGAGAGGCAGAAGCTGGGAGATCTTTGTGAGTTTGAAGCCAGCCTGGTCTACAGAGCAAGTTTCTGGATAGCCATGGCTACACAGAGAAACTTGTCTCAAGAAAGAAAGAAAGGGGATATTTACATGGAGAACTTTACCTGAACACATAAACAAGAGAAAGCTTTAGAGAACGGAAAATGAATTACACACTTAAAATTAATTAAGATGGGCCGGGCAGTGGTGGCGCACACCTTTAATCCCAGCACTTGGGAGGCAGAGGCAGGCGGATTTCTGAGTTCGAGGTCAGCCTGGTCTACAGAGTTCCAAGGACAGCCAGGGCTACACAGAGAAACCCTGTCTCGAAAAACCAAAAAATAAATAAATAAATTAATTAATTAAAAAAATTAGTTAAGATGGTTAATTTCATTGTGTGTATCTTACATTTTCCCTCTATTTTGGTACAGGACAAGGATTCACTTAGCCCAGACTGACCTATGATTCTGTGATCACCCTGCCCCTGCCATCCCTCCACATGAAGGATTATAGCACACCCATCTCCTACAAATTCTCCTTTTATTTCTGACACAGGGCTTCACTATGTAGCCCTGGTGTCCTATAACTCTCTATGTAGTCCAGGCTGGCCTGGATTCACAGAAATCTGCCTGCTTCTGCCTCTCCAGCGCTGGAATTAAAGGTGTGTGTCATCATGCCTGGCTTCCTACAAACTCTTTAATTCACAGTCCAGGTCCATGTATGTATGTATGAAAGACATTCCACTGACAGGAAATGACAATAATCTACAAACTCTTCCATTTAGCTGCTTTGGTGCTGGGGCACCAGCACATCACAGATGCTAGGCAACCACTCTAACCACTGAGCTACATCCAGTCTTCAGTTTAGCCTTTGGATACTGCATTTACTCATGGAGGACAGAGTCACTGATGGATGACCTCTAAGAGGAAGTTCTGAAATTGCTGGCAGTTTAAAAAAGTACTAGAAACATGCTCTAAAAGAAAAAAAGAAAAGAAAAAGGAAGAAAGAGGAGGTAGATAACATGTAAGACGGGTATGTTCCCCTTTTTGAGACCAACACGTCAGTTTTCCTTGGGTTTCATTTTAGAAGACTCGGGACCTTTATTTTAGAATGATGGTTTTTAACCATGTTGCAACTTTGCTTTGGTTGCTTAATGTTTAAGGCCTACCTCATTCTGCCTTTTGTCTATATCTGGAATCTCACAAGTCTCTGTCACTTCCAAGACTTGAAAGACACATTGTTTCTCACTTTCCATCAGTTCAAGCTAAACACTAAGGAATGTTGTGTAGCGTTTATCCAATGAAGTCTCTGATTGATTGACTGGGGCCTAGAGTCAGGGTTTCTGTGTGGAAGCCTGGCTTTCCAAAATGGCTCTGTAGACCAGGCTGCCCTTGAACTCAGAGAGCCGCCTGTCTCCACCTCCCATGCGCAGTGACTAAAGGCGTGCACAACTACCACGGTTCAGGGTACAGATCTTAAGTACAGAGTTACCTGGTTGATGGGGTCTTTTTGTGGGGTTCTGAGAACTTTATTTTTTAATTAAAAAACATGAGTGGACTGGTGGTGGCACATGCCTTTAATCCTACCACCCAGAAGGCAGAGTCAGGTGGATCTCTTGTGAGTTCAAGGCCACCTAGGTCTACCTAGGAAGTGCCAAGACTGCTGGAGTTACATAATAGAGATTGTCTTATTAAAAAAAACACACACACATACTAAACAAAACAACGACAACAACCCAACCCAGTCTTTATTTACTATCACTGTGCGTGAGTACTGCATGCAGGTGTATGAAGGTCAACTGTTGGCACACGGGTTCTATTTGTGTTTTGTTTTTCCCAACAGGGTTTCTATATGTAGAGCAGGCTGGCCTGGAACCCACAGAGATTCGCCTGCCTCTGCCTCCTCCAGAATGCTGGGACTTGCTCAACCACACCCGGCCGGGGGAGTCCTGTTCTTGTTACTTTTCTCAGCCACACGCCTCACCTGTCCCTCACTTGTCACAGAGAGCACACACCCCTCAGGCATATAAAAGTAATCATGCTGGGGTTGTAGTCAGAATCACTGTACTTGTAAACACTGGCAGTACTAAAAAAATACTCAGCTGGGTCTGATGGCTCACACCTGTGATCCCAGCACTCACGAGACTAAGGATCAATGGCCCTGGGTCTCTTGGGTATTTAAAATGGTCATGTCAGGAGAAGCTAGAGAGAAATAATGTTCTTTTCCTAGCAAGCTGCCAAGCTTCCTAGTGTAAATAAGAGAAAAAGGAGCTGGGAGGTGGGAAGCAGCCAGGCAAACGAACTCTACACAAGCCAGAGCTCTTAGGAACTACGCTAGAGCAATACCCACTCCTACATCCGTCCACAAGCTATCACTCTGTCTCAGTCACAGGCTATGCTCAGGATTGGTTTTGGTTTTGGTTTTTTTAAAACAGGCTCTCAGTGTACCCTGGGTGGCCTGGAACTTGCTATGTAGACCAGCCTAGCCTCAACTCACTTAGATGTGCCGGCTTCAGTCTCCGGAGTGCAACAGATGAAACCCATCCAGTTGGTGCTCAGAAAGTTAGCTACAGCCGGACAGTGGTGGCGCACCGCTTTAATCCCAGCACTTGAGAGGCAGAGGCAGGCGGATTTCTGAGTTCGAGGCCAGCCTGGTCTACAGAGCGAGTTCCAGGACAGCCAGGGCTACACAGAGAAACCCTGTCTCGAAAAACCAAAAGAAAAAAAGAAAGTTAGCTACATTCACTGCATCTAACATACAATCACAGCAGCGGGAGAGAAGGCCCAGCAGAGGGCCTGAGTACCACAGCCCAGATGTACCGATGCCTCTGGCCTCCACAACAACCTGCACTCACATACACGCATACTCATAACTAGAAAATAACAAAAAATAAACTTAAGATTTTTTTTTAAAGACACAAACAGAACTCACAAGTACTTGTTTAACTCTAAAGGCTGTCTCTATCATTCAGCGCCTCCCAGTTTACCAAACACTAAGATATCAGCCCCGTTCTTGTAATGATTTTTTTTTTTTAAGACCAATAGTGAAAATACTTCACCTCTGGTTCTCATCACAGATAAGCATCATTGGGGGTGGAGGCACTGGGCAGAATAGGATAAAAATCTAAGCTTACAACCTCTTTTCAGACATTGCTCGAGGCATCGGGTGGACATGGAAACAAACGGGAGTTTGTTCAAGGGATGCCAAGAGAAACAAGATTCCACATGTCAGGGCACTGAACGCTCGACACGGGGCAAAGGGCACGAACCTCCTTGCTTTTTGCCCAAATCCTGATTAGTTGCTTCACCTGAGAGCCTTTCAAAGAGTCTAATGGTCTCCAATTCCTCCCTCACTCCGTGTGAACTTAACAATCGCTACCTGGAGACCAGAGGAACGTCTTCTTGCTTATCAAAACCAGCAAGAGCTGTTGTAAGCGCCAAGACACTTGTCCATACCTTGAGACAGTTCCACTTCAGTCTGTACAAACAACTACAAGCCAAAACACCTGTTCCCAGAGTTCTGTCAAACAAGCCCATCCATTCCCACTACTTAGTAAGCTTATCAAAGTCCCCAAGGCCAAGCCTCTGTCCAGGGCTCCAGTGTCTTCACAAAGTTCCTGTCTCCAAGATGGGCTCCTTCCCTCCACTTTCTGAAGACTTTCCCCAGTCCTTGTCGGAGGCCTGCCACTCCAGGGCCTCCATTAGATGTCACTTCTTCCTGGCACAACTCTTCCTTTCTCACCGTACTCAGTTGATTACCATCTGTGTTCCCTCCGCCCCCAATGTCATTTTCCCCCTTATCTCTCCTCAAATGGAGACACACACACACAGAGGATCTCTTCTCAGCTCCGAGACCTCTCCCGCGCCCAGAGTTCGACCTCAGCACTAACACACTCCCTCGAGTTTCCTCACCGTCCTGTCATCCTCAGCTCCTACACTTCACACCTATTTAAAAGGGAAACACTTCGCAACTCTCGTTTCCTGTGCTTTCTACTCCCAGAACACACGCTTTTTCGTCCCAGATCGACTCTCTTGGCTTCCATCCCACCACTTCTCCCCTCTTCCCATGTTCTACGGGCCCGGACTCCCAGCCACCTCCCGGACTGGGCCCTGCCCTGAGCTGCCGGACCCCGCGAGCGGGCTCTGGTGTTTTTCCCCTCGGGGCCGCGAGGCCGCTGCCAGCAGGGTTGGCTCTGCGTGGGGCAGGCTCACCAGTTGGTCATGTCCAGGAAGAAGGCGCAGCCGGCCGGGTTGAGCTGGAAGCCGAGTAACCGCTGGAACTCGGAGATGAGCACGTCCTTGTCGGTGGTGCCCAGGCAGCTGAACTTCTGCATGAGCTCGGGATCCAGGTCCACGTCCATGCCTTCCATGGCGGGGGGCCCGGACGCACAGCTTCCACCGCCCCGACCTGCTTCTCCACGGGCGGCTGCCGCGCCCGGGCCCGGGCCCACGAAGGGCGGCCCGCTGCTGGCCGGCGCCGCGCGCACTGCTCCGAGACAGGCCCCAGGCCTCTCACCGCCTCATGGGCTGCGCGCGACGCGACGCGCCGCACCGCTCGCTCCCTCTCTCGCTGGCTTTTGGGCTCGCGCTCCCCCCCCTCCCATCCCCCCCAGCGCCCGCCTCCGCCGCCGCCGCCGCCGCTGCCGCCGCCGCGGTTCGCAGCACCGCCACCTCCGCCTCCTCCCGGGCCGCGCCCAACGCGCACGCGCGGGGCCACCCGGGTTCCGCCCCTTCCTTTCCCGAAAGCCCGCCTTTAGTGACGTCATAACTCGGTGACGTCTCCGCGTGACCTCACCGCGAAGGAGTGGAGGGAGCAGGCAACGGGAACCCGGAAAGGGAGGCTTTGGGCGGGTGTCTGTCCTCGCAGGCGTCCCCACGCCGCGTGGGAGGAGTCACGAGTTTGGGTTGTGCTTGTGAGACAGGCAACCTCACCTCTGTTCGGATTGGGAACCAGAAGTCGCCTCAGGGACAGAGGCTGGGGCAAGGTCAAAGTGCAAAGGGCACCACAGAGCGGACTCTTACTCCTCCCCTCTCGGGAGCTTTGCACGCTTGGTCTCTGGCCTCTGACTTGAGTTTCTCATGACTTCCTATGGTACTGTGCAACCTTAACAGAAAATAAAGGCAGCTTCATGCAAGCATCAGTCACAGGTCAGGGGAACACTCCCCTCGTTGCCAGAACCGATCCTTTGCAAAGGAAGGCCAACACCTGAGACTTTAGCAAATCTTGTTCTGTCTGTAAAATCCAAGACAAAAAACAATGACTGTAGACAGTATCCGATGTATCCACTAATATGAGGTTCCGTTGGAAGGTGAAGGATTAGAAAGCTGTGGAGAGACTCATCCTTCCAAGTATTTTCTCAGTGTCACCTGTTATCAGATACAGGAGATGGGGGTCGGGTAAGAAATGATCTGCAAATGGGGACAACGCTTAATAAGCTGTTTCCCTGCAGGCATGAAGGCCTTAGTTCCTGAGAGCAGATACTCTGCTCTCTCTTGTAAGGCCTGGCTGACAGCCAAGGGTGGCGGCACTAGTCTCGCCCATCTTTAATCCCAGCACTGGGGAGGCAGGCAGTTTTCTGTGAGTTTGATGCCAGCCAGAGATACTCTAGACCCTGTTTTTAAAAAATAATTAAACCACCCCCCAGCACTCATAAGGCAGAGGCAGGCCTTCTTCGTGGGGTTGACTTTGATCTCATCCTCCTACCCCTACCCGCTGGGATAACGAGTTTGTCACGAAGGCCTGGGTTGAATCTCAGGAATCACCTGGCGATTTTTATCATATTCAAGTTTTTAAGAGCAGTACTTTGAGCAAATGCAGTTATTCCTGATAGTTTGCTCAACTGATAGTCCAACCCGATTAAAGATTAACAAAGTAAACTATGTTTCTGGATGTGTTTGAATTGCATCTATCTCACGAACAGCAACTGTGAATTCATGAGGAACAGGGAGAGCTCAGGGCGATCAGTATGACAGTCTTTGTATTCCTACCGTTGGCTTCCGAACACTCTCCTTAGTCATGGGGTCCTTAGAACATAAACTACCAAGTTAGCTTCATATCCCATGCCTGTCATCCCCACAGTTAGGAGGCACGGGATCAGGATGGATGGCCAGTCTTAACTGCTTAGTAAGGTCAAAATGAGCCTGGGCTACATGAGACCTTGTCTTAAAAAAAAAAAAAGCCAAAAGACAGATTCATATGGTGGGTGACACACCTGTGACCTCAGCACTTGGGGAGCAAAGGGCTGGAGAATAAGGAATTGAAGGCCAGCTGCTGCTCCATAGTAAATTTGAAACCAGCCCTGGTGACTTGAGACTCTGTCTCAAACAAACAAAACAAATCATTAGAGCCACACAGGTTGGCTTATATCTGTAATCGCAGTACTGGGAATCAGCACAGGGGACTAAAGTAGGGGCATTGTTATGTCTTCAAGGCCAGTCTGGCTACAGGATGAGTTTGACGACATTTTGAATAACACAAGACTTTATCTTAATAAACGAAATCAAAAGCTGAGGAAAGTCAAGCTCGGGGTTTAGAGAGAGACCCTGCCTCAGAGACATGGGAGGAGACACACTAGAGAACACCAGTCACCAGGTCTGGCCGGAGAGCCCGGGTGAGTGTGTGCAAGGTGTGAGCGTGGATGGTTGGAGGACACTTTTGGGAGCCGGTTTTCTCCTTCCACTGTGGAATCTGAGAGGCTCAGGGTGTGAAACTTGTACAGCAAAATGCTTTTTCCCACCGAGCCATCTCATCTCACTGGCCCAATAAACTGATCTCTAAATGGAAAGAGAGAGAGAGAGAGAGAGAGAGAGAGAGAGAGAGAGAGAGTAGGTTTGAAAGGATAAATTACAAAATGTTAAGCAGACCTCTCCCTAGGTGGTGAGGTTACAGGGACTATACATGTTCACTTTTGATGTTAAGGCAGGGTCTCACTGCGTAACCCTGGCTGGCCTGGATCTCTTCCTGTAGACCAAACTGGTCTTAAACTTACTGTGTACCCAAGGTACCCAAGTTGATGACCATCCACTATTGTCCTCCTGCCTCCGTTTACCAAGTGCTGGAATGATAGGGATGAATCACACCTGGCTCATAATATCCTATCAAAGGTCATTTCTCTCATTTTTGAGTTAACAGAGCAACAGCTCCAATGTCCTTAAGTTTCCAAATTATTTTTTCTTGTGATAAAAATAGTTGGACCTCTCCAGGAAAGTCCCCAAGGTCAGAGAGCCACAGCTGGTTTTAGGAACACTGTATGTACAACCCCTATGGTTATTTGGTTTCAAGAACATGGTTTTCTTGCCACAGGAAATCCCCCAGGGTTTTTCTTTGTTTTTTTTTTTTTAATACGTTTGTTTACTTTGACCTCAAGAACTCTTGGATCACAAGCAAGTCAACAAAAAGATGACACAAGGAAAAAAAAAACACACAGTGGCCTCAGAGGTGGGTAAACCATCAGATGCTGAGCTGGGAAAAGCCCCAGTGTTTCTCTGTTCTCTCTTCTTTCTAACTTGGAAAGGTCAAGGTAGGGGATTAGTTGGTGGCTCTGCCCATCCTTGGGGCCAGAGAGAAGTCTGAGTCTTGAGTTCTGGCACTATACCATTGCTTTGGTAAAGTTCACAAAGCACTGTTAACCAGAGCAGACCTCTGGGAGGTTCTGCTTTTTATTACTTATGTTACTTTCTTAAAATTCACTTTTTCAAATGATTGGTTTACATTTTACTTTAAAAGCCTGTTTATGGCCTAGTGTATGAAGGCACCTGCTGCCAAACCTGGATGAGCTGAGGGTATTCTCTGGATCCAAATGGAAAAAGAGAGACTGACTCCTGGTGTGTGTGTGTGTGTACAGATTAGTGTCAAATTCTGATTCTCCTGCCTTTCCAAATGCTGGAATGATAGGTATGCACCCCCCACCCCCATGCCTAGCTAGTCAAGAGCAAAATATATTTCTTTGGAACGATTTAGGATTAGAGCCTAAAGCCGGGCAGTGGTGCCGCACGCCTTTAGTCCCAGCACTTGGGAGGCAGAGGCAGGTGGATTTCTGAATTCGAGGCCAGCCTGGTCTACAGAGTGAGTTCCAGGACAGCCAGGACTACACAGAGAAACCCTGTCTCGAAAAAAAAAAAAGATTAGAGCCTGAAATCTCCAGATTCAAGCGATCTTGAAAATGTGCTCTGAGCTTTTATAAAATGTGGTTTTTAAAAATTTTTTTACCGCTTTAAACCACAAAGGGTTTGGAAATGGCAGCACTTGCCAGTCAGTAATTATGATTGGGGGTGCAGAAGACATTTGTAGGAAAGGGATTGAGTGTGGTCTAAGTTTCCAGGAGGCTTGCGGAACAGTACATGGTACAGGAACTCATCAGAGGCTAGTGATGTTTGAAAGTCAGTCTGCACACAGTGTGTGCAAGTATATGCATGTGTGCATGTGTGTGTGTTTGTACATATGAGTACAGGTATTTGAAGAGTTCATAAGAGGCTGTTAGATCCCTAGAGCTGGAGTCACAGCCAGTTCTTAGCCACCTGACGTGGGCACTGGGGACTGCACTCTGGTCCTCTGCATGAATAAAGGAAGTTAGAACTCATGGGATACGGGGCTTCTTCAGATTGTCCACAGCTGCTGACAATGATTTGTCTCGTGCTCTACCAGGGGCGTGGTTTTGCCAGCTGCATATAGTTTTTTTTGCGATTGTGTGACATTTGGAATTCTGGAGACATTCAAGAGTGTATATAAATGCTAGGGCCCCAGAAGCAGGGTTGTTGTTGGTGGTGTGTTATGAAATACAACATGGAGAGGGGTACTTTTGGCGGGCCCTTGTCAAGGTGTGCCCCTGAGTAAGTAATCCATGCAACTGATCTGGTGTGAGAGAGGTTTATTGGGGAAGATAGAGGCAGATAAGTGGATAAGAAGACAGACAGACGGATGGAAGCAGAACCGTCAGGGCAGAGAGAGGGGGCAGAGAGAGAAGGGAGTGTGCCCACAGAGAACAGATGGGGGACACTGGGAACACACAGAGCTGCTGAGTGACAAGTGGGTTTTTACCTGCAGCACACACATGTCATACCTGGGGCAGTGGCAGGTCAGGGCATAAGCAATTGCTAGGTCCCTGAGAGCAGGCCAGAGGAATTGCCTATAAGCTAACACGGTGGGTTGTTGGTTGTTGGTGGTCCTGGTTTATTAAGTAGACAAGCACAAAGAAGAAGAGGACGAGGAGGAAGAGGACGGGGAGGAGGAAGAGGAAGAAGAAGAGAAAGAAAGAAAGAGAAAAAAAAGGAAGAAAGAAAAGAACTAGATATCGTGACTGTGAAGATCAAACTTGCCCTGAGGAACTGCAGTTAGATCCCCCTAATCAGCAGGAAATAGTCTGATGATAATGCCCGCCTCCCTTTTGACCCCTGATTTATTCAGGGATCTCTTTCCTTTCTCCTCTAT